GGTCTTTCTTAACGCGAGGTGCCGATACACATGCATATGCATACGAGACAATAACAAAAACTGCCTAGACTACTGCCACGCTGGCTCTGATATTACACCCCCCCACACACACACACACACACAAAAACACTCTTAGTGCAATGAGGAAGGTGCTGTCATGGGGTTGGAAAATTTTGCTTCAAAATCCCTTCTTCCATCACAGTTGAAGAGAGAACAGATAATACGCTTTCATCCAAAAAGCCGAGAAACTTTTAACTAGATGATGATTTTGGTAATTGTCACGGAGCATAGAGTTAGTTGTACTAAAGCATGTCTGTGACAATATATTGGTGTCACCAGAATGTCTACACTTCACAAAATAACCATTAAGACAGGCTTGCGAATGGTGCTCCTCTCAAGGTTCATCATGAATACTTTTTATCAATGACCTTTAATAATAAATAAAAACTGTTGGTATTTTATTCTCGATAGATATAGACAATTATTTGTTCCAGGGGACATGTGAGTATCTTATTCTTATTCTTAATCAGTGCCTTCTGTGTTTTATATACATTTGTAGCATTGCAATAAGCACATAAGATTTTATATCAAAGAGCAGATGTGTTCGTTGTAGTTGTGACATCATGAATCATGTAAAGTCGCACAAGAGTTCAGGAATGAAAACATCATGCAATGAATTCTTGGGTAATTAAATAGCAAAATAGAAACTATTCCTAAATGACGTGTTTATTTGCCAGAAGAAACTTCTGCAGACTAATAATGGTTTTAAATGAAATTATATATATATATATATATATATATATATATATGTGTGTGTGTGTGTGTGTGTGTGTGTGTATAGTCTTAAGATGTGCTATATTTATGGGATAAAGTGCTCAATATCAGAGATAGAGCGTGTGTAAATATAAAAGTGAACATAGGAGTCAACACTTAAAAGATCCCAGTCTGTTCATGCTAGATGCAATCGTCAGGCCTGACGATTGCATCTAACATGAAACAGACTGTCTTCCACACTCTAAGTGTTGACTTCTGTGTTCATTTTTCAGGATATATATATATATATATATATATATATATATATATATATATATGAGAGAAAAGAGAGAGGTGGAAAGAAATACAACAAACGCCTATAATAATTGTACATTAAAAACGTTAGAGATACACGCAAGCTCAGCCAGTGAATCTAAATGTTTAATTGAATAAATAAACAAGAAAGAAATTCAAAAACAACATTTACTCGTTTATTTGTTTATTAGGCATTAAATTACATCACTTAGCATCCTCCATAACTTACTTTGACTTTCACAGTTTGTCAGAAGAATATTTATGAGAGTTCTTACATTTAAAAAAAACTAATAATATTTTACTTATGTTTATAAATACTTGCTGCAAAACAAAATCCTTACATTTGCCTTGATAAAGTCCATCAGAATCTTTTCACTTTTTTGTCTTTATTCACATTGCCATCTTTACAAATATACCTAATTTTTACACACACATACACGCACACACATACACCTGATAAAATAACTAACAAAGAGGAAACATTTCTAAATTTAACAGGTTTCGCTTTTATTAAAGCTTCATCAGAAAATGAAATATGAAGGAAAAAAGAAAATTCTGGTATTTTTATTTTTAGGTTGCTTGCTTTTCCTTGGTTAAACAGACGACACGTGCTTCTGTCCTGTCAAATAGTGTTCATGTGTATAATTCATGTGTTTATAAACGAATACATATTATCGATTGAAGTCCTGCAGAGACAAACTAGAATTATGATACACATACACACATGAATTATATACACCAATGCTGCTTGACAGGACATATGCATGTGAGGTCTGCTCAACCAATGAAAAACAAACAACACAAAATAAAAATACCAAAAATTTCTTTTCTATTCCATATTTCATTTTCTGGTGAAAAGCGAAATATGTTAAATTTATAAACATTTCCTATTTGTTGCTTATCTTATCATTTTGTTGGATTCCAATACATATTTGATCCCAATTCATATATAAGACTGACTCCCTCAATCAAACCATTATTACTCTGAAGAATCTCCTTGTGGGAAAGGCGTCACTTAGGAGTTTTTCTATTTTGTCATTTGATTATCCACGATGAGTCTGTTATCATATCTTCCATACTGCTGACATGTTAAAACCTACAAATGAATGCTTGGTAAAAGCTTAAAATGCAAAAAAACAAAAGCAGTTACCATTTGTTTTAATTTTATTCAACCAAACTATCCTCAAAATATTACAACTGGGAAAGATTAGAACTGTTTAATAATTGGAGTTAAATACAAATAAATAAACAAAAAAGTACAATACAAACAAAAACAAAGAAACCAAAAGTTCTATTTTAACTACTGTTTCTTTGAATTGATTTTGTTTATTTTATTTGGATCTTTTCTGTTAGTTCACCCCAAAATATTAATTCACCCCAACATAAAAAGAATTTATATTTACTAAAGTTCACACCAAATTCTTCCAGAGTGAAGTCCTTCCATTGCACTCTAGTTGGGTTGAACTTTGCGATCACCCCAAATGTCTAATATTTCTAAGTGTAGGGTCAACATTCACACTCACCCCGGTAAACAAGCCAAAAACAGTTTTTTTTTCTTTTTTTTTTTTTTAAATTCTAATATAATTTCTTGGGGTGAATTAATATTTGCAATAAGTAACTTTACTACATTATTCCGGGTGAATTAACAGAAAAGAAGATCCTTTTTTTATTTGTATTTACTTCTATACTTTTCAAGATGATCATGGTCTTGTGGGGTTCTTTTGTAATGATAAAGATTGTATTTTCACTGTTATTTCATAGCTGTATAAAAACACGCTCATGCACATAAACGTTTTGTTTTTGCTTTCTTTGTTTTTATTTATTTGCATGCAGTGCAAAAATTAAAACATGTTACTGCCACTGCTTCAGTCAGCAGTCTATGTTGTTGTGAAATGGTGAAACACTTAAATGTTGTCTGTAAAATCTTAGCATTTCAGAAATTACATTTAGAACAATATGTTTTTTATGTAGATATATCAAGAATAACAAGGTAACAATAGTAACATGAACCCGATATAAAAACTGTTTTAAAATTTATGTTAACGTTTTTGCTTTCCTTGATTGTAATTTTGGTCATAACTTTTTTTCCGTGATTCACTTCTGGCTTAAAAGACAAACTAATAAGGAAGCATATGAAGCGGTGGTGGGGTGGGGAGTAGAATGTGAACATACATACGCGGACCATATGGGAAGGAAATCTTCATTGATACAAGTTTTGTTAAAGACTAAAGAAAATTTGGTTATAGATTTTTTATTTTTTCTATATTTCTAAGTATTCTAAGACAATGTCTTGAATGAAACCGTTGACTAAATGCAATTGATAAACACACTACAGTGCTGATAATTATGATGGTGAAAATGAATTTTAAAAGGAATAAGAATAACAAATAATAATTTAAATAAGATAACCTCGCCTATTTTTGTCCTAGAACTACCTTCAATAAGTAATTATATTCTGCCTAATTATAATCAATAGTAGATAAATAGTAACAATAATTTAATCTGCTTGTTTATTGAGGTCTGAGGTGTAGTTTTCAAAATATTGTGATAAGATTGCATCATTATTTTAATCAATTAGGTTTTATTCCATTTACGAATTGAAACAAATACGGATTAAATGCAACAGAATGATGAAATAAGAAACAAATAGGAAATCATTTATAAATTGAACATATTTCGCTTTTATTTTAGCTTCACCAGAATTTTTTTCGTAAATTAGTTATGGAAGAGAATGTTTTTTGGTATTTCAAATTCTGAGATTTTTGTTTTCATAGGTCAGGTAGAGCTCACATGTTTATCTCTTGTGGCGTTAGTGGCTGTGTACCTGAATTCCATTTAGTCAACTCTTTTGTTCAAGTCTCTGTCTCCCTGCAGGACCATGTGCCTAGTAAATGGTAGTCAAATCCAAACAATCTTATGAAATAATCATTAATGTTTTTTGGGGGTTTTTTTTGTTTGTTTGTTTGTTTGTTTTTTTGTTTGTTTGTTTTTTTTTTTTTTGCAATGCATACATTGTTGTTTGTTCTGTTTTTTCAGAGCATCATAATTTCAAGAATCTGCAAGAACTGAAAGCATTGGAGAAAAGTCTCAAAAGAGAAACTTCTCGAATTAAAAAACCTCCTCAGTAAGTCAATAATAGAATAATGACGTAATTGGATCTTTGTTCTATGTTTTTTTTTCTTTTTTCAGTTTGCTTAGAATCATAATAAATAAATGAATATCTCTAAATCCGTTTTTGTTAACAACAGACTCTTTGCAATTTTTTTCTTCTGCCCAAATCATTCCCTTCCACCTTCCTGTAAAAATGATGTGAACTAATTCTTGTCCACAAATTCTTACTGGCAGCCTCCTTATCTCATATCTCTGGTGGCAATGGGTTTGGTTAATGGGTGTATCCTGTCAATCAATAGCCTTCGGATGTGTCACAAAGTAATTCGCTCATACAATGGATGTCCGGCTTTTCAGACATAGCCTCCTTGTTACTCTTGAAAATAATGTGTAGAGGGATCAGGATAGTCCTTGTCTATGAGTAATAATAATGATGCCTCACATCTTCTTTTATTCTCATGAAAAGGACTTTAGGTAAAATTCCAAGTCACAAGGAGATATGGGTAAATTGTTCTAATTGCAATCGGCAATTCTCTTTCCCCAACTTTCTTTTTCTGTTGACATTCTCTCACTTGTATTTTTTACAGTGCATTCACAAAACATTTCAAATGAGAACAGAACATGCACACACATATACATATTTAGGCTTGGCACCTCGAGGTGGTGTAATGGTTAGCAAGCTTGTCTCGCTAGAACAATTACGACTGAGTAGTGAGTTCGGTCCTCACTGGGTACCCCATATTTTCGGCCTTGTGCCACATCTGAGCTACGCTCGGAAAATCACTATCGCTTGTTTAGTGCAGGGTCACAACAGTGGGTCGTCCAGCTGGGGTTCGAGCACTTTTCACTGACAACGCTCTGAAAGACCAGCTTGCCATCCATTGCAATCAAATGCTCTATAAAGTGAACGAGGGGAAGAAAAGTTAGATTTTTTTTTTGCCACTTGTGAATGTAATTGTTTGTAGATGCGCGACATCAAACAGAGTTATCAGTTTATGTTAGTAATTTGAGAGCACAACATTTAAGCATTTGTTCTTGACTTCCATTTTTATTGCCACTTTTAGCTGATCTATCTATTTCAGTCTATTCATATCTATCTATCTCATTCATTCCATATCTGTCTATATAATGGCCTGCTACTCTCATTTTCCGAGCACACCCATCTGCTAGGGCAGTTAGCCAATCTCTGTTGTAGACATCTGCTCAGGCACGTTTGTGTTTGTTCAACACCCACAGAGCTCACCTGTGGTTTATACTGCAACTATGCTGAACAGATCTTAGTTATAGTTTTTTGGGAGAGAGCGCCCAATCTGTTATGATCGGAAGTTTGTACACCCAAACCCTCAGTCACAATGACTTGTGACTTCATGCTAACACAGCCAGCAATAGATTCTGAACAGTTTCATTAACCCAATTTACTCACAAAGCTTGAGTCAATTCATGATTCATATTTCTAAGTATTTTAAGACAATGTCATGAATGAAACCGTTGACTAAATGGAATTGAGAATTGATGTTTTCAAGCACTTTCCAAAACTGTCATATGCTAGGATCACTTCCCCAAACCAATAATAACTTCCTTACGAATCAACCATGGTGAGATTCGAACCTGGGTCTCATGGTTGGAAAGTGAGCATTCTCACCACTTGACACTCTATATACACACATACATACATACATACATACATACATACATACATACATACCTAATTTTAATATATTTGCGATGGATTTTGATTGTTAAAAAAAAATATTGGGTGATACTGTGAAAATCTTAACTCATTAATAGTTTATACAACCAGCTTCCTATCCACTAACAGTTCATGGAGTATTTGATTTGATTTTTATTTCAAACTTTTTAATATTCATTAGTCTATTTATAATTAAATCTACTTTCAAAAATGAAGTAACATGTTTTAATCTTCGTTTCTACAGAGTAAAATTTCAGCCGTATATATTTACAAGTTTGGAGCCCTACTATGACACTAGTCTTGTGCGATACATGATGGAAAACGTGAGTTAAACAGTTTTGTTTTGCTATTATAATTATTGTTATACTGTACCTATAGACGATAATGGGTATGTCCCAATTCCTATAAATACAGTGGTATATACTGTATGTTGTCTTCCACGTGCGATTCACCTTGATTCACTTCTAGCAGTTGATTGCTTACTACACGCCACTAGTGAATCTTGTATGTTGTTCCTGTTATAAATATTATCGTTCATTTCCAACCTTTGTTTTGATTATTCTTATTCAGTAAGAAGCTTTTCCTAGATTTCAGCAATTATTATTTCTTGAATAATAGAGATTAAGTTACAGCAAATCTCCTCACAACTCCATTGCCATTATTATTATAGCATATAATGTTGGTTGCTGGTAAAAACTTTATTTTCCAGTCACTACTCATGACTTAAGAAAATAAACAAGCTGAATCTAACACTTTCCAAAGTATCTTTGATGCACTGAGCATGCAAGCATTTCGTAATGGCTCTGTTTTCAAATCACAATCCAATATTTGCAAGATATTTTTCCATGTTTTTTTGTTTTTTTACAACACTTCAATGCTCCAATAATCACTGGTGCTGAAATTACCTTCTTTGTTTGTCCTTTTCAAACTTTCATGATTTAAATCATTGAATTAGACATGAAATTCTGAAAGTCTGGGAAGAATGAGCAAAGAAAGTAATTACAATCAGTGATCATTGGAGCATTTTATCTGACACCTGAGGCAAAGGAAGTTTCTTTTTCTTAGAAATTTACTAAGGATATTATATTGAAAGAGTTTTTCTGAATATGTGAGAAGTGCTGATGAATTTCAAATAATGAAAACTTGCCTTTTTTATTTATTTATTTTGTTTATACTAAAGATTGACCTAAAATAAGACTCAAGTCACCCATGGTAGAGAACTACTGAATATAAGAGGAGGTAGATGAGATAGAAGGAAGTGAAGATTATGAGGATAGATAACGATTGATTTTTGACCTGAAAAGGTCAAGGTTATAGTGTTTAAGAAAGCATCCATATGGGAATTTGTTCTACAGGGTAGCAAATATCATGAAAAAGCTGTATGAGTGAAACTGCCTTCCTATGAAAGGAATAAGGAGGAAATGTGGGTGACTCGACTCCATGGATGTAGTGCAGTAAGTCCTAGCTGTAAAGGTCTGAATTGGTAGAACGAAAGAGTGCAGTTCATCTGAACATTTGCCATGGAAATAGTCATGCCATGTTATGTATGTATAAATCACCCCTACCAAACCATGTAAATGATTTTGAACTTTGTCAGGGCTGGAAAGTGAGGATTGGGCAGCTCCAGCCTGGACATGGCAGCAATACTCCATTTTGGTCTAACTCTTGTAGAGATAAAGCATAGCAGAAGGAGGCAGGTTTCTATTGATTGATTTGTTTTTTTTATGGATTATCAACATTTTGCAGGTTATTTAAAGTCAGGAAATATTTTTAGATGGTAAGTGTTTTTGGAGATAATAATGATTTACTAATGAATAACTATTAGTAGCTAGAGGAAGAAGTGAATTCATACTTTTCCCAAGGGTATTTTCATATAAGTGAATATAACAAACCTAACTGGAACTAGAACTTGTCTCTCTGATTTCCACTTTGGAGCCTGTTATATTCCATACTAATAGGAATATTTACTTGAAAAACAAGGTGGATAAAATAAGCAAAGTTTTATTATAAAAAAACCAGTACAATAAGAATAAAGGTAACAGTTATGCACAAGGTCGTCGCAAGTCAATCCAGTAGTGAGTGCTAGTATTGGAAGCTAGGTAGTTCTCACGTAAGTCTGAGTCATACTCAACAGATCCCAGCTAGTGTATTTACTAACCTCCCCACGTGATCAGATGTGGCACAGGGACGAATTTAATGTGGGGTATCCAAGCCCATAGGCTCAGCCAAAAATTCCCTGTATAAAACAGGGTCAGGTAGCTGTTTCCCGAGACGAGATTCTGCCCTTTGACATAGCCTTGTCTGGGGATCCTCTCTGACAGGAGGCTGAGAGTTTGAACAGCACAGCTGGAAAAGATACCAGCTAGTTGGTATTTACTAGACACTCCCCTCCTGCAATGGCAGATGCGGCACAAGGCTGAGTTTAACATGGTTTATCTAAGCCTGTAGCCAAAAAATCCCCATAGAACCCATATAAACGGGATTGGGTCTGTCTACCTCCCCGAACGAGACTCTGCCCTTTGGCTGAGCCTTGTCCAGGTTCCTCTCTGCCCGAAAGCAGAGTTCAACCATCTAGCTGGAACAGATCCCAGCTAGTCTCTGTAGTCCGTTGACTTACAGATACTTATAGGTAGTAACTACCTATAGTGTAGTCACTCATAGGGGTGACAGGATATTCTATTACATCAGAGCCATTATCCATTATACCACCTGCACAATCAAGCTTACAGCACCTGGTATTCTCAAGCAGTCACCTATCTAGGGACTAATCAGGTTCAATGTTGCTTAATTTCAATGATTATATGAGAACTGGTGTTTCAATGTGATATGGCCATAAGCCCAGAAATTGGGTACTTTTTGAAGCTGTACAACCATTTTTCTAGCATCTTTAGTGATGGATCATATATATGAGTTCCACTCAATATCTGGAGTTATCTTGAGTACCAACAGACATTTAAAGCAAGGATCCTCTGAGAATGCAATCATTCTTTATGGCTGAAGTAAATCCTGACAGAATGAGATGACACTATATTTGCAGCATCTTTAGCAATGGATCATGTATATGAGTTCCACTTGAGTGCTGAAGTTCAATAGATATTTGATATCTGGATCCTCATTGAAAGTGCAACCATTCATTGTGTTAGAAGTTAAATCTTGTAAAAGGTCTAAAACTTTTACATGAATTTTCATTTGAATTGTTTTGTCCACTTTGTGCATGGTTGAAGATTTTCAGTTATTAGAATTTGTAAAAAAAAAAATAATTCTAACATCAACCTTTGAAGAAATACAATATTCCCGATATGAAAAAAAAAAGTTTTAAAAAAGTCATTGTTTATTTAACAGGATTGTTATTCTTTATTTGATTTTATCTTTATTTTGACAGCCAATCCCAAAATATTTATTTAGCAGTCTAAAGTGTTGTTTGTTTTGCCAGAAATAGTGACAATAGTTTCAGTTTGTATTTAAACCACATTAGAACTTACAATTGTCAGTATCCAGCTCTGATCTCATGTTTAGCCATATTTTTTTCATTTTCTTTTGCTAAATTCACAAATATTCCTAAGTAGCAATTTTTACAAAGCTGAGTTTGTATTTACCAAATTGCATGATTCATTTTCTTTTTCAGATTTCCTTACCAAGAAGTAGACAAATTGTTAAGCACATTTTTAATATGAAAATAGATCAATAAGTTCACCTTTACCTTGACATAGATTTTACATGAATTTTAATCTGAAAGAATTTTTTTTATTTTATAATGTTCTATCAATATGATAAATACTCAGCAATGCATCAAGTGCATTAACAAGGAAGAAGATTATGTTGAAAAATAAATATTTGTTGGCCAAAAATGTTTTTTCTTCATTAGGCCACAGAAAAACTTACTGATATCCTATATACAGGGTGCGATAGGTAAATTGTCACTATTTTATATTTTTAATTTCACACATACATGTTGTTTGTTTTTGATTTTGTTGACTGCACATTATAGTAGGGTCAGTTGGGCACCATCCATGAGAAAAAATGCACATGATGCAATTCACTATGCTAGAAATTTGGAAATGGCATGCTGTAGTGTTTGGCATTTGTGCCAGAAGTTCTAATATGAACATTTCAGAGTTTTGGGGTGTTAATTTGAGGACAGTGCAAAGGATTTGGAAAGAGTTGGATGAGTCTAATGGGGATTATGAAAGGACTGCAGCTTGGAAAATTCACTCTGATCATTCTAAGAAAAGAACTCCTGAATTTGTTGGTGAGATCCAGGCCATGATTGACAACAATCCCTCCAAATCGATCAGGTTTATAGCCAGGGACACAGGATTGACTGAGTTTCTTATCAGGCTGGTAGTGCATAATGATATTCACTATTTCTCATACAAAATCGGAAAGGGACAATTTTTATCTCAAGCGATGAAGGAAAAACTGTGCTACAAAGCTTTTGAACAAATTGAAGCATCCCCTCCAACCAAACATGCTTTAATTTTTCTCAGACAAGAAAAATTTACAGGCTATGATGGTGAATGCACAAAACAACCATTGACCTGCTGTGTCACCAAAAGATGTACCGAGTGTGATGAAAACCAAATATCCAGTCAACATCATAGTGCCTAGAATGATCACTAATGATGGTGATATTATACCTTCATTCATCTTCCCACAGGGTCTCAGATTCAACATGGAGGCCTACATCAAGTGCCTTGAGGTGGTAGTGCTGCCATGGGTCAAGAGTGTGGCTGCTGGACACAGGACTCTGCCCCATGCCACACAAGCAGACAATTTCTGAGACCACATCACCCCTTACATCTGGCCACCTAACAACCAGACTTAAAATCAGACACTAATGAACAGCACCATGAAACTTTTACAATCCCATTGATTATTATGTGTGGGTCGCATTTGAGCAAGAGACCAATAAAACCCCTTGTAACACCAAAGATGAACTGAAGGCAAAGATTATGGCAGCATTCACCAACTTAAACAAAGAGATGAGTTGCAGGAGATTCCAAAGTTTTCTAGGTGCTGTGGTTGAAGCCAATGGCAATTTTATTGAATAAATTTACTCTTTAGTATTTCAATATATTTTGTGTAATTTTGGTAAATATATCTGTTAAAATGAGATGTTAGTGTTATTTTCATTTTTGCGTAATTTAGATGACAATTTATCCATCACACCCTATATATATATATATATATATATATATATAAAACTTGTTGATATATGTTAACATGTCAAGGTGAGTCTGTCTATATTTCTGAGATGAGGTGTATGTACAGTATTTACATTAGTCGGACTATTGTCCTCATCTTTTTGTGCCATATATTGTCACAACGTTTGTGGCGTTAAACGTTGTGACAAATATGGCGACAAAGATGAGGACAATAGTCCAGCTAATGTAAATACAATGTCAAGGTGAGTAGAATTTTTGCAATAAAAGTACTCAATAGATTACTATAGCAATAATTATTATCAATAAATAAAATGTTCACAATACTACTTATCTGTGACCAACTAAAAGTTTCATGGTGTTCATCAAGGTCTGATTTTATTTATTGATATTAATAATAATATATTTTCTTCTTATTAAAATAGTAAACTTAGTGACTATATGTGTTTGAGTAGGAATCGCTGTTTTTTAAACAATGTAAATTTATATCTCTCAACCTGTATATCCAAATGTCTTAATAAAAAAATGTGCCTCTCAGCATATGTATGTGTGTGTGTCTCCATGAGAGTGAAATACTAAGTTCATAGCTGAATTTTGATCTGAATTTTTCAGAGTATAATATTCAATGTGATTAATGGATATTAGTTGGGTTAAGTACATTGACAAAGAAGGAAATTATGTTGAAAAATAAATATTTGTTGTGTAAAATCAATACCTTTTCTATCATTATTCTACAGGCTTTTTAATCTTCCTACATATAAGCTTTAACAAATGAATATTATTTTTCTTGCATATTGCATAATATCCTCATCCTGATGGTATTTTTGAACACTTGGTTCTTTAAATCTAGGACTGTGACAAAGAAATTATATAATTCAAAAGGAAGTCTTTATAACACTGCTAATCAATGTTTAATGCAAGTAATAATAATTGCTATTTTGGTATTATGGCTCTGACAGCCAACTGCTATTGTTTTTATACAAAAATGAATGTGTTTATTTTTGTTTCAGCCTCATGGGCCTTATCCTGGTTATCGAAGTCGCCAGACAGCTTTGGGCTTGTGTGATCCAGCTGAAGACCTCAAGCTGGACACATACATTCTTCCAAAGGTTTCAGTTAAAACACTCAAGAAAATACAAGATAGATACAAAAAAGGGTAAGTAGTTATTTACACATACAGATATGTGATTTAAAGGATTGGAAAAGGCAACAGGATACTACACCACTATCTTTCTCAAGAAGTCATGCTAATTCACAGACAGTAAGGAAAAAAGATTATGGAGAGCTATAATTGTCTACATCTTGAAGGGTCACAACATTTAAAAAAAAGATCTAAACAATAAAAAACTTGACAAGGATATGTGTACATGTTTGAAAAGTTAGATAAAGAAGGAAACAAGGAGAAAAGTAAGAAAAAAAAGAAAAAAATCGGCTATTAAGATAACATGAAATACTAACTTTAAATACTAAATAACTTAAATTTATAAGAGGTAAGGCCAATTATCAACCACAAAAACCTTATAAGCACACAGAAATGTGAGTATACTAAAACAAGGCTGAAAATTATTACTGCAAGTAATAATTTTCATCCTTATGTTAGTATTTCATTGTTTTATGGTTTGTATGGGGCTGGTGTCATTTTTGTTCTAAATGTAATTTCAACTTTTATGAAATGTTTAACTTCTTAAATCTGAGCATTCTGTCAATTTCATAATAAAATATAATAATATAATTTCATAATAAAATAGTAATAAAATATAGTCCCATAATAATAAGATATAACAATGTAAACTCAATAAAAATATAATCATATAATCATACAATAAAAATAATATAATTTCATAGTAAAATATAATAATGTCATAATAAAATAAAAATATAATCCAGTAATAAAATAGTAAAATTTAATCTCATAAGATATCTCAGAAAATAATAAAATACAACTTCCTAATAAAATAATAAAATATAATCTCATAATAAAATGTTAAAATATAATCTCATAATAAAGTAATTATAATAATTATTATAAAATATAATAATGTAACCTTATAATAAAATTGATACATACACACTTTTTATTTTGATACATCAAAATATATCACAAAATGTCTGTTTTTTCATGAAAACATGGCCTGTGATGATTTCAGATTAGTTTGCTAATTGTGCATTTCTTACAATTTCAGAAAAAAGTCCAGTGAAAGACAACCTCTACCAAAATCTTCCAGTACAAGATCATCAACATTTCCTATGGTCAATCTTCAGAGTCAGAATTTGACAAAACGTCAACTGACTTTTAGTGATGTCCCAATGTTGAGGTGAGAGTTTCTGTCAGATTAACTGTGACATTTAACTAATAACAACCATCTGAATTGGAATAAAATGATGTGATTAAAAGAATAAAAAGAAAATTATTTATGCATAACAATGACACGGGACAAATCAACTGGTCCAAACATGGTGCTAACACCAACAATTAATTGCATATAATCTATTTAAGCAATAAAGTATTTAGGACAACCAAAGTCTACTGATTTCATTAGTTATATATTATTTTTCAATATATTTATCATATCATATATCATTACCCTACAGCTACACCTTATACTAAGTTTCCACTGTATACTTAATTTGAGTAGCATGTCATATATATATATATATATATATATAATATAAAAGGCTCAAACCCTAATAGGAATATTAGTGTTTGAGCCTTTTTATAATATATTCTTGCTCTGTCCTGGAACATTGAGCTCTACCTGGATTCTATCCTCTTGGAAATATATATATATTGACCACTAATATTATCTATCTATATATATATATATATATATATATATATATATATATATATATATATATAAAGAAAGAACAGTAATATATATAATCCGGTGTTCTTATAGATATTTTTATTTTTACAAAATAGTACTCAATGTAAATTTATAGAGCATTAATATATATAAATTGATTGATTTAAATAATTTTTTTTCTAACCATATTTCAAAAATGGAGGTTAAAAGCTTTAAAATTCAATTTGTAATTAATTAAAGACATTAGTTCCATTATCCTGCCTAAAATTTTGGAGTAACTTATTTATTAGTTACCTGAAATTGCTGGAGGATGAAAATAATAATGTCTATTAATTTAATTATAAAATTAAATTCAAAGCTTTTTAGCTTCCATTTTTGAAACATGGTTAGAACTGTAAAATTATATTTTACATCAATTAATTTATAATATATATATATATATATATATATATATATATATATATATATATATATATATAACAATTTGGAATACTTCTATTTTAATGTTTTGTTTATGAGTCCATTTCATTAGAAAAATGGATTTTATTTCAACAAATTCTTCTAAATGTTTTATATATTTACAATTCCATAAGATTCTGCTCAAATCTTTACTTATATATTTCTGTGTGTGTGTCTGTAGGTGCTGAAAAATTCTTGATCCAATCAAAATGAAATTAAAACAATATTCTGTTTAGTCCTTTTGATCAGGTTTATGAGAATGCATCAGGATGACAACTCTACAGTACCCCCTTGTTTATATATATATATATATATATGTGTGTGTGTGTGTGTGTGTAAATAGATATTTAGTTAGCTTATCTTAGATTGGCAAAGTGCCATAATATTGGAGCATCCTGAAAAGATCAAACATACTATACTGAGAATGATCTGTGAGATGAATTGCAAGTACACTGATAGAAAATAAAATTGCAACACCCTGAAGATGTTCTTTAATTTCCTTCAAGATTAAGCATACAGGTAATATAGTTGAATTAGGGTAAATGATCACATATACAGATCCATAAGTTATACAACTTCTAAAATAAGGGTGTATCAATAGTAGTCAGATCCCATATTAAAACCCTGTTTAGCCTCTTTGGGGATTAATAAAGCTTATGTCCTGTTTGGACATATTCTTGCATACATGTATTCATATAGATGACAAAAAACTGTTCTGTGATACATTATTGCCTGTCTCTTGCACCTAGTGATGCAATATGGAAATAGTTGTAGGGGAGACAAACCAAATAAGTCAGGCATCATCCTATTATTTTCATGTATATTCAATAGGAGACAAACCTGGTGATCATGTTATTCAAAGACGTTTTTGAACATGTTCAAGAGCATGTAGAGTAGTACCATTTTGGTGACCATTATTCTACTGGAGCAGCATATTGTCTTCCTGTTGCAGGAATGACAACAGAATGGAATGGATAATATTCTGGATGTACATGGCATTATATAATGTTTCCTTCATAAACATCAAAGTAAAGCAGGAGTCAAGCTTATGGAACATTACATTATGATGTTAGGGGTTGAGTTTGTATGTTATAGCCAAATACACTCTGAAAGATATTGTGTACCATGTTTAAATAGAAATGTGCATGTAAGTAGAATTTTGGCTAGAGGCATGCATGCCCATAGTTTCCTGCTGCAAATAAAACAGTTTCATCTATCCAATTTCACTCACAAGTTTTGGGTCAACCCTAAATGATTCCCAACAATTAGTGTTAACACTCCTGGGACCACATTTTCTCTGATCTCTGCTTGTGGACACTGCTGCCCTAAAAATATCTCAACTTTAACAAGCATCTTTACTATGTGGCCATCCAGAACCTGGTCTACAAATGTAAGAATCTTCAAGTGACCACTGTTGCCACTAATATATCATTTCCAACATGTAAAACAATTTACCAAAATGACCATCAAGCATCTCTATTTGGAGTGGGTCTTTTAAATTTGCTTAGGCCCTATTTAGCTTTTGATGCATCTTTTTCTTTTATATTCATATACATAATGAAAGGGCCCCCCAAATTCTATTAGCCCAGGAGCCTCTTAAGGCCTAAATCCAACCCTGGCAACAACAGGAGTGATTTTTCTTACTTATAAAAAGTAATAAAACAAAACAAAATATTTTGATTACAATCTGCATAAAAAATATTAGTACGGGGTAGTATTGTTAAACATACAAATTTTTGTAATACACAAATAGGCAAAGATATCAAGCTATCTTGCCCAAGAAACACCACTGTGGCTGCAGTATGTGTAATGCCACTACGACCCTGATGGGTCACAAGATTTGTAATTGTGATACACTTAACTAATGCTACAACAAAACTTCCATCAAAATAAATTGTCATATATCATAAACTGTCATATATATAATGTATGTATTTATGTATGTATGTTTGTATATGAATATAAAATATTGCACTTTTGAGTGCAATATCTATCAGTTATTTTATCAATATTCTATTAGTTTATCCCCTCAATCTTCAGACATGGTCTGAAGATCACTCCAGGCATGAATATATATAGATATATGTGTGTGTGTGTGTGGGGGGTAAACCATATAGCAAATGAAAATACTCGAATGTTCGATTTTTTTAATAGATATAGATAAAATATATATGAATATAAAATATATTGATATAAAATTATTTGAATTGTACAAAAAAGACATAAATACCTCCTAAATTTTCCTTTAAGCAAGGGTGTATTTAAAATTAAATTCTTTCTTTCAATACCATTAGAATGTTCAGAAACTTATATATTTTCCTGCTATGAAATTCAACTAATCAAGAGAGAATGATGGTTGAATGATATTAAACTGTAATCTAGAATTAGTTTATGATCTCTTTTGTCCAATGTGTCATTTATTATGCATTTCTCAGTTGAATTGGATCCATATGAAGGCACAAAAAATTTGGAGCAAAATACTTAATGTGACGCACAAATGTACCAAGTGAAATGGGAAAACATGTGAAAAGGGAATTTGGGTTTCACATGTACTTTGGCTTGAGAACCAAACACAAAAGTGATAAGAACAGAATACATGAAAATGGACATTTAAAAAAAGAACACTTAAATTAACTGATTCTAATCAGGTGAGAAAAGTACAAAAAAAAAGACTATACACACAACTGCCCCTTTGTATGCTATCAAAAAGAGAAGAAAAAAAAATGTTTTCACAGTGAATTTCATGTGTTCCAAAGTCAGATGGCTTTTCTTATTTTACATCCTTTTATCTTTGACTGACACTTGGTTTCCTCTTCATTAATTGTTGCTTAAAACCAAGGCTTATAGTCTATAGTCAGTCATATAATGGATTTGTAAGTGGCACAGAATTGTTAAGACCTGTCTTAATAACTCATTTACTGATGAAACTATTAAATTTGGTTTATGATTCAGTTTCTAAGAGGCTAAAAAAGTTTACTTGAAATACTCCATATATCACTTAATCCTCCACTACATTAATTCATATGCAAAATTGTTTTGTTTAAACACACACACACACACACACACACACACACTGCCAAAAAGTAACACAATATTAGAAATTAACATCTTTTTAGAGAAATTTAAATAACATCATTTAAGAAATATATGATTCTGTAGATAAATTCAGTTTTACTATCAAATGCTACTGTTGAGCAAATACAATATCTGCAAAACTCCAAGTCAAGAAGATAGATTGAAATATACATAACTATAAAGTATTGCACATTGAGTGTGGTTGGTAATAAAATAGTGCTCAATATATAACAGAGTTAAAATTTATACTACTAATATACATTTTGTTCTTCTAGTTTGGTACAATTCTGAGTTTCATGCATGTGGCAATCATCAGGAGCTGATATGAAACTCATAGTTGTGGTACTGTTGAGGAACAAAATGTACATTTATTAGTAGTATAAATTTATATAAGTTTTTGAACTTATCTTCCAACTTCAAGTTTCACAGATACACTGCTTGTCAGGGTAAGATAAGATTTGAACTTTTGTTTATCTATTAACTATTGTTGGTCTATTTTTGTGTTTAGATGGGCTAAACTCCAGAAATTTACTGGTCAATGTGTGTTGTTAGGCATTAATGATGAGTTATATATATATATACTCGATTCTCCCATCGAATTCGATGTATGAGAGTCAAGTAGATCAGTTCCTAGGAAACCGACAGCCCGACATCAGCAGATCAGATTTGATTATAGTGGTGAAGGCTTTGTGCAGAACTATCCACACTTTTTGAAGGACTGTATGCAGAGACCTGGTGCACTACGTGCCACAGGTTTCCCCAAACAATCCTCTGCAGGTTTTGAATTCAGAGTTCTCCTTCTCCTAGACCAGTTGCCATCTAAGGCTATAGAATCCAGTCTGCCCCGCTATTTACACATAGTGGGAGGGAGAAGAGGATTCATACTTTTCCCAAGGGTATTAGCATGTAAGTGAATGTAATGGATTCCTCAATCTGAGCTGCTATCCATTACTCCACTGTGCCTCATATATATATATA